GGGAATATTTCTTGGACATATATCCAAGAATAGGATTGCTGGGTCTTAATGGATCTGCCTATTTAATTTGACTAAGCACTGCTGAGTTGCTCTCTGGAACAGCTGCCCTGACTACATGACAAAGATCGTGGACTAAGATCCCAGCTTCTCTTCATCACTGCCAACACTTAGTTCTAGGTAACATTCTAATTTTTGCCAGTATGATGGTTTTAAAGGGGCCTTTTTTTTCATTCTCTCTGATCACTAATGAGTTTCACCTATTTTATTGTCAAACTCTTTGTCAGTAGAGTTTCCTCAGGAGGGAAAAAAAAGTCTTCCCCTCTTATACTTCTGAAAGAATGTATTAAAACTATGTACTCGATTGTGTATTTTTCAGCTCATATCTAAAATTTTTTATTTTACATTTAAGTAATTGCAAAGGATAGAATTTCTGGAGTACTGTATATATTAGTATATGAAAACAAAGTTGTTACACATTTCTTTTAAATATGACCAAATGAATCTGAATGCCATAGCAATTTGGTAACTATCATGATGCTTTTTAAAAATACACAAACCTGTTCTTTTTTTTAAATATATTTTATTAATTATGCCATTACAGTTGTTCTATTTCCCCCCTTCATTCCCCTCCACCCTGCACACCCCTCCCCCACCATTCCCCCCCTTTAGTTTATGACCACGTCTCAAGGTCTTTAGATTCTATATTTCTCCTACTATTCTTGCCCTCCCCCCTATCTATTTTCTAGCTACCGTCTATACTACTTATTTTCTGTACCTTTTCCCCCCTTCTCCTTCTCCCACTTCCCTGTTGCTAACCCCCCATGTGATCTTCATTTCTATGGTTTTGTTCCTGATCTAGCTGTCCTCTTAGTTTACTTTTGTTTTAGGTGTGGTTGTTAATAACTGCGAGTTTGCTGTCCTTTCACTGTTCATCTTTTTTTATCTTCTTTTTCTTAGGTAAGTCCCTTTAACATTTCATATAATAAGGGCTTGGTGATGATGAACTCCTTGAATTTGATCTTATCTGAGGAGCATTTTATCTGCCCTTCCATTCTAAATGAAATCTTTGCTGGATAGAGCAATCTTGGTTGTATTTGGATTTCATGACTTGGAATACTTCTTTGCAGCCCCTTCTTGCCTGTAAGGTGTCTTTTGAGAAATCAGCTGACAGTCTGATGGGAACTCCTTTGTAGGTGACTGTCCCCTTATCTCTTGCTGCTTCTAGGATTCTCTCCTTCATTTTAATCTTGGCTAATGTAATTCTGATGTGCCTTGGTGTGTTTCTTCTTGGGTCCAACTTCTTTGGGAACTCTCTGAGCTTCCTGGATTTTCTGGAAGTCTATTTCCTTTGCCAGATTGGGGAAGTTCTCTTTTATTATTTGTTCAGATAACTTTTCCACTTATTGCTGTTCCTCTTCCCCTTCTGGTACCCCATATAATTCAGATGTTGGAGCGTTTAAAGATGTCCTGGAGGTTCCTAAGCCTCTCCTCATTTTTTGAATTCTTGTTTCTTCATATTTTTCTGTTTGGTCATTTTTTCCTTCCTTTTGGTCTGCTCCCTTGATTTGAGTCCCAGTTTCCTTTCCATCAGTATTGGTTTCCTGTGCATTATCATTCATTTCAATTAGTTTAGCCTTCATGTGTTTCCCTAATTTGTGACTAAAATCGACCAGTTCTGTGAGCATCCTGATCACCAGTGTTTTGAGCTGTGCATCTGATAGTTTGGCAATTTCTTGGTTGCTTAGAGTTATTGGCTCTGGGGCTTTGAGTTGTTCTTGAGCCATGTTTTGATCTGTTTGTGCCTGTTACGTATGAGGGGCGGAGCCTTAGGTGTTCACCAGGGTGGGGCCACCCAGGTTGCTGGTTTGTGATGCTGTAGGTCGGGGCAGGGTCAGAGAGGGACAATGGTGGTCCCCTCAGCCGCTTCCCACCACTGGGGCCTATGTGGTCTGTCTCACTGCTTGTTCCTTCACCAGATTATCTGTGCATGAATGCATGACTGTGGTCAGTCCTCAGTGGTTCTGCCCGCTACTCCACACCTGGGATCTGCCCACGGGTGCTGGAGCACCTGGGTCATGCGTCCGGGTCAGTTTGGTGGCTCTTTCCTGCCCGACCCTGCTCTGCTGCTGGCTCTGCCCCTCTTACCGGTTTGACTGAAGGGTTCGTTGTTGTCAGACTTCTGTATAGTTCAATTTTCTGTGGTTTGGCTGCGTTTTTGTTGCTAAAACTTTGTTGTTTTTAAACTTGGTTGTGCAAGAACAACCAAGTTTAAACACCTATGCCTCCATCTTGGCGGAAGTCCTCCTGTTCTTTTTTTATAGTAAAAACTTTTATCATTTTTTCTTCTTTAATTCAATATGTCTGCTTCTTCTATCCCTCCAGGAATATTACCCTAGTGTATATTTTAATGTTTTAATGCATTTAAATATATATTTTATGCTTAAAAGTATATTTAATTGTATCAAATGTCTCCATAACAAAGATATATGTAAATAGCAATTACATTTAAAATTTCCTGTAATCATACAGAAAATTTTTTTCTGTATTACTTGTTCACTAGATATCAATCATTATTAGTTGATGATTGATCAGAGAAGCTAATACATATTATAAATTTTAATAAATAATTAACAAAAGCAAAGTTTTATAAGATGTATTTTTAATTAGATACATTTCTGATAATGCCATTTATCTCTGTGTTTGTATAGAGTGAGGTAGAATTTGAGCATCGTTTCAGTTTATTTTGTTTCTGCAGATGATGAATGCTTTGTTTACATAAGTAAGTAGATGAGATGAATGGAGTTTATTATAGAAATATCACTCAGTTCTTCGAACTTCTTTGGAATTATTTGTCAAAAGATAACAATGGGGATTTATCATGAAAAAATATTTTTAACAATCCATCAACTGTTAATTTCATTTTATACTCAAATAAATTTGATGAAAGCAAAAAACTACATGATAGTTTATTCAGTTGTTAACGTCATTCTTTCTCAAAACTGACAACAAAGGTTTCCAATTTCTCTTTTCTTGACATCCATGTTTTTATACCCCAAGGCTGTGAACTATTGTAAAATTATAGATCGATGAAAGATAAGTTTTATTTTGTAAGTTGGAGAAATATGATTTCAAAAGAAGAAACGAAAAAGAGAAAATGTACTTTTTTTAAAGAAAAGAATATGTAAGGAAGTTGATGATCTCGAAAATGGTTTTCTGAAAGCTCTCTGCGCCTCCCCGATACCCGCCTCGGCAGGACTGCAGGATGTTGAAGAGACCGCTGCTGACAGGAGAGACTGGTTTGCGAGCTCTCGTCATTTGACAAGAATCACTGTAGTAGTCACACATTAGTACCAACCTTGTAGAGAAATATAGAATATGAATTTCACTGAATTAAAAATGTGAACAAAGGAGGTTTTTGTAAGTTTGTAGCTGATTGTTTTGACAGAATATGTATCTAATTCAACTAACTCTAAACTCTACCATCATGTTCCTAGAAGATTATAAAAGAAGGTTGACTCTAGCATGTTGATATCAAATGGGAAAACTAAATGTTGGTGTTCTTTGAAGTTTATTTGGCATTTTAATATAAGGCTCTGGATATTTACATACACTTCCTTTGCTTAGGTTAGTTCCTCTGCCTGAAATACTGGTTCCTCTTTTCTGCTGCCCGCCCCCATATGAACATATTATATGTCCTCACTATAGCATTTTTGCATTATATTTATGAAGGCCAATTCATTCCGTTTTCTAGACCTATCTCAAATCTAATCCCACCTCTCTATCCAGTGCTCTAATTCAGACCCACATCATTTTCCGTCTGCTGTCCCTGGCTCCATTCTCTCCCCATTCCCAGGTCCCCACCACAAAATTATTATAATGGCCTGTCTAAAATACAGACCACATCCATATTGTCCTACTCAGAAACCTTTAGTTCTTATAAATGTCTGTTTATAATATGTATTAGTTCTTATAATATGTTTAGTTCTTATAGCCAAATGTACTAATACTTTCATTTATTATCTCATAATTATCTGTTCTCAACTACCTTTCCAAATTTTTTTCCAGCAACTACCCTCATCTACTTTTTACTCTTATCACATAAACCATTTATTTCCCTGAACACATATCATGGTGTTCTTATTAGAATGTCGCAATGGAAACATTAATTTTTTTAGTAATATTTAGTAAAATTCAACCTGAATTTTTTACTACATGTGATTAAAGGCTAAAATTTATTTGTATGCAGTGGACATATCCTTTACAGAATAATTTTGGTTTATTGTTGAAATATATATTTAGATCACATTGATAGAACTAGGCATGGCCATAAGACACATAAAACTAACAAAGAAACGCTATGAAAAATGGAGGGAGTGGTTGGTAAAGAAAAACCTTATCTCCATAATCCTTAAATACATCAAGACTTTTCAAAATGTTTTGAAAACATGCATACAAATGTACATTGCCTATGTATTTAATTCTCATTAATCTATATTAAAGAAAAGGATTTTTGTGTTTCGCCTATGGCCTGGAACTCAATGGATCGTAACCATCTTCTATAATTCCCTTCTCATTCAGGGTAGTGAATTAGCATGAACTGTAGCATGTTAAAAGGCAGGTTCTACTAACAATTCCAACCCTAATCGGATGATATTTAGTAGGTCTTTTTTCTTTACTAAATTTGTTTGTTTCATCCAAAAAATGAGCATTAATATATATTTTGTATCCGTTCAAGGAGAGCTGGTATCATGAGATATCATTTGAGATTATATGATAAATTTAAAGAGGTTTAGAAGTATATTGTATCATTGAATTATTCCTTAATCTTTTTAATTTTAATCCTATATTTCCTTAGAGGATCTGGTCTATCGATGTGGAAGGCATATGTTGATGAAACTAATACATGATCAAATAAGGAAATAAAGGATGTATTGGGGTTTGTTTGTTTTCTTTTTTCTTATTTCTTTTATGTTTCTTATGTTTCTTCCTTGTTAAAACAGTTTTGGTATGAACCATGATGGAATTGGAAATTCTTGTGGGACGAAAGGTCATGAAACAGCAAAGCTTATGGCAGCTCACATTACCGCAAATACCAATCCTTTTTCCTGGTCTTCCTGCAGTCGAGACTATATCACCAGCTTTCTGGAGTAAGTAATCTCTGGAGAGTGATGACGAATTGCTCTAGAAGTAAGCCATTGGTAGAAGCCTGATATGTAGTGCTTCAAATTTGTATAACGAGTAACTTTTATAGGGCCCAGTGATATTTCAGGCTGTACCCAGAATATTTTAATATATTATTGTGGCAAATTTTTTTCTTCACACTCATACAGAACAGCTGAATAGATTAGAGGGACTGGAACAAGAATTTAAGTGGGGTGGATGATGTGGGTGTTAGAAATGTTCAATACATGGGAAGCAATGTTGTAAAAAATGTAGATTTACATAATTAAAACAGTACAGGTCAGACTTTAATTCTGGGATTATACATTTAATTTTGTTGGTGAGAAAAACCTGAATTCTATAAGAGTGCCATAGTATCTAATGGTAGCAAGCAACAACAAAAAAATTCAAACATCGAATAAATAGAAATTAAAAACGTCTTTGAAAATTTATCGACTCATCTTTTTTACAGTTTGGGACCTTCTTTGTTGGCCCTTTGATGTTTATTCCAAGAGTTTGATTAGTTAACTGTGAGGAATATAAATTAGCTAAAGTAAAATGTTTGGGAAAGCAGATGTTCCTCTGTATCTCACCTGCCATGGGGCTTTCTTTCGTATTGAACTCTGAAAACTAGTAGACAAAGGTCTCACTTCCTGTGTGCCCTTGGGCAGGTGACGTCACCTTTACAATCTTCATTGACCTCATTTCCTAAGTGAGTTTAGGTAGTAATACATACATCATCATGTTATTATGTATATAATTATGTATAATGCTAAAATGTGTTAAAAACTCTTAAGAGACATGCATTAAGTGGTAAATATTTTAAATGATATCAAGGTTGTAAGCTTTACAGCTGTCTCATTACCTTCAACAATTTTGTGCCATGTTTTCTTGGGGAGAAGAGATTAAATACTCTGTGAAAAAGTGAGTCATACATAAAACACAAGCAAGCAACAGAAATTCTTTTTAAAAATTGGCTTTTCAAAGTACACATTAACATGATGATAGTGTAACATTTTAAACATTCAGATGGGTTATGTAGGGTAACATTGTTCATTTTAAAGTTTTGGTTTCTATCTGCAAATGGCCTGATTATATTCCAAAAACTTATAGTTATGTATTTTTAAAGAGCCTGAACAAGAGATTTACCTAATGCAATGCTTTAATTGCAGATCAAAAGATAAATGTTTAAAATGGGCTCTTTTTAATTAACTAATATAACAGTGAAACTGAAGGAATTAGAAATTTACTTCAGAAGGTAGTTCTCCTGCATTGCCTAACAACTTTTAATCCTAGTAATAGATAATCATAACAATGTGCTTGTTCGGTGCCAAAGCAGGGCGAAAGGCTCTAAAGATAGAACACAGAGAACTTGTTTGACATATTTTGGTAGTTTTTAACACAAAGCACTAGCAATATCATTTTCCAAGATGTTTTTAATGAGATCATATTACCTCAATTTAAACATTGTTGAAAATCTGCTGTCCCCAGAAATCAAGCCAGGTCTGCAATTTCTCCCTTGACTTGGCTCATGTTGTTATAATGGAATCTTAGTGTCTGTCACCAGAAAGACGAACTATGTAGCATGCTCCATATTCCTGTGCATTTTGAAAGGATTCCCTCCTCTCGTTCTGTTCAAGCACCATTTTCTTGCTCCTCTATCCCGTTTCCATGCAGAGCACATTTGCTAGGACCATCTCTGTGTGCATAGTAAATACAAGGACCAATGTTCATCTCTTGCCAGCACCTACCTAGTACCTAGTTGGAACAGTATTAAGGCTGAGATTATATGATAAATTTAAAGAGATTATGAAATACATTGTATTGTTGAATTATTCCTTAGTATCTTTAATTTTAATCCTGAATTTCCTTAGAGGATCTATATGTTGGTTAGACTAATGCATGATCAAAAGCAAATTCTAAAATTGCTGATAAAATACAGTTAAGAAATCACCACTGGCTGGGTGGGAAATGTAAAATGTTTATTAGTTCCAATAAAGTATTCCATTGAATGAATACAAAAAGTATTATTTAAGCCTTGCAGGTGTGTTCCACCTGCAGCCAGTGGCCACGTGGGGCCCTGGGTGGCCATGAATGCGGCCTAACACAAAATCATAAATTTACTTAAAACCTTTTTTTTTTTTTTTTTTGCTCATCAGTTTTCATTAGTGTTTGTGTATTTAATGTGTGGCGCAAGACAACTCCTCTTCTTCCATTGTGGCCCAGAGATGCCAAAAGGCTGGACACCCCTGTGCCTCTTTGCATTTTGTATGAGTAAGCACAATTAGTCTTGACAGGGATCTAATGAGCTTATTTATCCTGTATTTTATATTTCTGTTGTGTATTCTCCTGGGAATACTCACACAATTAAAGCCATTTGTGAAAGATAAATATGAAAGACAATGGGTAGAGATTTAGGAAAACTTGGCTGTTTCCATCCCTTCTTAATAATAAACTAAATAACTCTGATCATAATCTGGCCGAGTAATGAAGGTTTTTAAAATACAAGGCCTTTAAAAAGGTCAGTTCACTGGAGCACAAAGACATAATAGTAACTTTCTTGAGTTTCTTTGTTCCTTTCTATTAATGCAGTGGACTTAATTGCTTTAGCAGCTCTGTGTGACATTTTCTCAAATCCAGCGATATTTTGATCAGGGATTGAGGTTACATTTATGTTTTATAGTTGGCTCAAAAAGACTTATAACATTTTATTTCAGTTTCTCCTCTCAAGAAAAAGAGATCTGTAAAGATGAATTGTTTAGGAACTGCAGCCCAGCCAACAAAATGCATACCTTTCTGTACTTAGTGACTGTATAGGCCAAAAAGATGATGGTGGATTTTAACAATGAGCTTTCTGTGATTTATAGATTCACTATTCACTATGTTCAGCTGAAAACCACTCCATGGCCTTTAGATGCCAATATAGTAAAAAGCCTCTCGTGTCATTCTGAAACACTACGTGCTACTGATCAGTCAGGAGGTGGTGTTTACCAACTCCCAATATTTTTTTTCAGATTTCTTAAACTCGGTGATTCAGTAAGTGGTTCATGAATCGCCCAGAAGCTGTCCTGATTAAGTAATAAAGAACCCATTTCCGTTAGAATGGACGTGTTATGCCAGCTTCTGATGTTTTCGACGACGGCTTTGCAGGTAGTGTCCTTCCTATCTGCCTGCGGGACTGACTGATTTATTTACTCACTGAGAAGACAGAGAAAGGTGAACCTGGCACTGTGGCTCACTCTCACTGATGACCGTGGGCTAATTTTCCAGGCAGTGGAAGGCTGCCACCAGTCATTTAGGCCAGTTTTCCTTTTCCTTTTTTTAAAATATGTATTTTTTCTACCACTTAGTGGTAGTGCAGAGTAATTTCATATAGTTTTAAAAAATTCTGAGGCATCTGTGAATCAACTCTTGCTCTATTTAAATTGAAGTCTGTTACATTATTTGAACTGTCAAAGACCCACAGCAGATCTCCTCCAGTTCCAAATTAAATATGGACTGTGCGTTTTCACAAGGGTGGACGCTGAAAAAAGAAAGGCAACATTGTGGTTGAAGGTGAACTAGTAAGAAAGATGAGTGTAGAGCTACGAGAAAGGTGACATAGATAACCAGGATGACCAAGGCACTCACATTTCTTCTATAGCAATTACCTTTGAAGGTCAATATCAACTACTAGACAGAAAACAAACAGTTTTATAGATAGGACCTCTTTTTTACCTGAAACCCTTGAAACAGCTTAGAAAAACAAGTTTCTCCTCCTTCCATTTTTATGACACGTTTTGGGGACTTTTCTCAAATCCATAAATGTCTTTGTTAAGTCATAATTACATATGGAGAAAAAGAGAGCGTGACTGAGTAAACCATAATTTAATCCAGCGCTTCCATATCAGACAGAAGCCTCAAGTTCAGTTGTGTTGAAGCACTCCTGTCTTTCCAAGGGACAGGAGAGTAAGGTCTGACTTAAAGTAACTCATGTTAGGATATAATGTATTGTTAGTTTTGTGAAGACTGATGAGAACATCGTAGATAAGACCCTGGACTTATAGCTGATAACAAGCTAATTCATTTCTGTTTCATTTAGGTGTATTAGCACAATTTTGTAGAAAATAATATGACATGGCATTAAATGTTAAGTTTTTGTTGTTAAGAGATTGTTAAGGTATGTAGAGTTACACAGAAAGATAGACTCACTGTCTTGTAGGCGGATAGTCTATACTTTACTGTATAATTGTTCAAGTGAAAAATAAATCTAAAATTACAATTAGGGGTATATCCTCATGTGTTCTGGAAACCAAGCCAAGAGTGCATAGTTTACACAGGGGTCTGTAAATTTTAGTTGAAGACTCAACTCTGGCTCGAGTTTCTATTTTCAAGGCTAACTTTTGAGCTATGTAAATAAGACCTCTAAATTAGAAGTAGAACACATAAAATATGTCTTTGCTATCGTGCTGCAAGGATTTCTGTAAATGTAAATATACTTGGATTTACTAAGAATTTCATAATCGAGGAAAAAGATATTTTCAAACTGATACACACTTTTTTGCCTCGTCTTAGAAACATAAACGTCTAGTTATATCAATTAGCTAGAATCCTATATTAAATAAAAATCACTCATAACTTCCATTTGGTTAAAAGAAAATAAAATATAAGAAAATAACTCATGTCTAATATTTTTAAGAAAGGGAAAACATTTGTACCAGGACTCATATAAAATTATTCACACCAACATAATTTGCACTTTTCAGAAATTAGAAATAATTCCAATGCTCATTGATATTTGTGGCACAGTGTTAAATGGAATGTCAAAGAGCAAATACACGAACAGTCTATAATTATACGCACCAACATGGATATATCTCACATTCCTAATACTGAATGAGTGACAGAATAGAGTCACAAAAGAAAACCTGCAATGTGACTTCTGTTTATATAGAGTCCAAAAGCTGACAGGTAAATATTGGGGGAGGTAAAACTGCTAGGAAAAGAAAGGACATTATTATTAAAAAATCAGAGTATTAGTTACTTCCTTAGGTGAAAGGACGGGTGGGATTCAGATAGAGCACTTGGGAATTTTCTTAGAAAAAAATAAAGAGAAGCAGTTTCAAGGTTAAGTATACATTGCTTAGATCCCTGTCCTCTGCTTTCTATTCTGATATCTGTGATATTTCACAGTGGCAATTGATGACTTAGAAGCATGGACATATCCAGAATCATTACTTTCTAAGGATTAATTAATAATTTATAATGGAGATCTATAGATTTAGCTTACTTTAAATTAGCAGGATAGTAGCTGACAAATTTTAGTAACATTTGCAAAAAGTATTTTTGTTGCTTAACCCTCAGTTAAGAATTAAAATGTGAAAATGAGCCCATCTCCCAAATACTTCACACAAGGTTTTATTGTACAACATATACCAGATATGGTTACTAAGAGGAAAATACGTAGTCCGTTCTTCACCCAAAATGTGGAAACAATGGAAGTCAGCCTTGCCGCAGACTTGCTTTCCCAGAACCATTAACAATAGGTAAGACGCCTGACTTGCAAATGTTGGTAATTTGTACAGATGTCACCAAACCCATCTCAATAGGCGTTGTTGATGCCATGTTCCTAACTACACATGTTCATTTTTAAGGATCAGTATGATTTTTCACGTATGTTTTCTTTTATATGGTGTTTTATTCTCCTGTAAAAATATACTGGAAAAGGAAAATAATACATAGTAATAAGTAATTCCAAAGAACTGAAACAAAAACCCACTTCGGGATAAACTTTCTCAGAAGGGCTTGGCCACAGATGAGCAGAATGCAGGGCATCCTTCACTGTCTGGAGGCCCTTGCCCTGGTCTTCTCCATGGTGTCTTTAAAGAACATGAACCATCATGAGAAGACCATTAATAACTGAGAACAAGAGCTTTAAAGAAATAACTATTGTTGCTTTCTCCTGGATTAGTCAATTTTCAGATTGCCATCAGGAAAGAATGTTTTCCTCAGCATATTATTCTTAAACTTTTTGGTCCATCTAATTTTTCCCCTAAATATTTTAGGTTAATTTTCTGTATTCCTAAGAAGTAATCATGTATGATAATTTTTCATTGATTTTTAGCTGGTGCCATTTCCATGAATTTATTTTATATACTTAGAAGAAGATATCTTATACTTTTTTTATGCTATTGCCAAATATTTTTATTTGTAGAATCTTGTACTAAAGTACTTCAGTACTTAAATTTTCCTCATTGATTTATAGTAATAAATTACTTAATTTGTTATTTTATTACATATTTAACCCCTTGCATCAAGACTTTTATTCTCATGAATATTCCCTATTATCAAAAATGGTACATCTTCTTTCATTTTATCTTTCATATTGATCTTTTCATAATTAACCTTAATATAAAATTTTGAATTTACTAGTAGAATTATATTTGCCTAAAATTTGGATACCCATATAGATTACAGATATTTTATATTACAAAATAAAAATAACTTTTCTATTCTTAAAATTCACCAAAAAAGAATTCTTTCACTGGAGTTCATGGCAATTTCTAAGAGCACACACACACACACACAAAAAAGAAATAAAAAGCACCCGTCATGAAAACTGGGTAGCCAAGTGGGAAAAATCAGCTGTTCTCTATTAGGTAGACAGATACTGTGAGCAGCAGTGAGTGAAATGAGTGTAACAGGTAATAGTAAAATCCTTCTGTATTAGCACCACTCCTAATATTCCATCTAAATATTTTTATTGATGAAAAATTAATCAAGAAGGGCATAAATGAAAGAAAAATGTGTAAAGAAGACAGTATTCTGTCCCTTGGGTCTTTTAATCTGGCACTTTATGAATAGCGTGTTTCAATTTTTAAAAGGTATTAATTCGCTGCTGTGCAACTGTACACTTGTATATGGCAAATTAACTTTCACATTTTAAGACTATGATAAAATTTTAAGCAAGTATGAAACTCATTATTATGTGTGGTTCTTTCTTATCTGTAAATGAAAATTTGTACTGTCCTAAATAATAGTTGAGGAACTTCTACTTGTGAAATTATTTTCCTTTGGCAAAGCAGATGGAAAAGATTTGGGAAAAAAAAACACAAGTGCTGGCACAATTGACAGGAATGTTGGAAAAAATTTTTAAGTGTTGGCATAGGAATTCTTTAAAAATTCTAACTTACATGTGAAATGAAAGTAAAAAAGCATCTGTCCTATTTTATGCACACTGACTAAATAAAAGTGAACAATTATATTTAGCAAAGTATAAAGCTCTTTAAGCTAAGGTATTCTGTCTGGGTTTTGGCAACCTTTATGTTATTTGTTCCACCGAATTAAAATATTATGTTTGAGTGCAAGCACACTTTGAAAAGCAGAACTTATATAGAAAGAACATTCTCTTTCCTAACTCTGATGATCCTAGATGAAATATGAAATTTTTGAAAGACTAAACACTTGTAATATACTTGAGAGGAGAACTTTGGATCTTGGCTTCATCTGTCATTCAGCCCATTTATTACTGAAATATTTCAAGAACCTTTGGACATGTCACCTATTGTTCTGCCTAAGGTGGAAATATATAGATTAGGTCTTTAAGGATTACAACCACATTTTTTTTAATTTTCCACATTTTGTGTTTTTAATTCTACTACCAGATGTGGTTATATTTTCACTGAAAACAAACAAGAAACTTAGGGCAATATGAAATTCTGTTTTGACTCCTTCAGAAATTAGTTTAAATCAGTGTTTGAAGGCCAACATGACATTTTCAGATTGTTGTCTGCAATACTTTTATTATGTCTTTGCTGGAAAAAAAAAAACTGCTGGAGCTCTTATTCAGGCTTCAGTAAGGCTGTTCTGCTATGTGATTGTTTCTTGGTCGAACGTATTGTTTTTCATGCATCAAGTTATTGAAACAAAGAGCTCAACACATGGTTTTATAATTGTGATTTCAATAGTGCATAGTGTACCTAATTTCCTTTGATCCTTTATGTTGAACAGTTCAGGCCGTGGTACTTGCCTTGACAATGAGCCTCCCAAGCGTGAATTTGCTTATCCAACTGTGGCCCCAGGTCAGGTGTATGAGGCTGATGAGCAATGTCGTTACCAGTATGGAGCAACATCCCGCCAATGTAAATATGGGGTAAGAAGTCTCAGTCCTTATGTTTGGTTATTTCTGTGTGTTCTTTCATGATACAAATGTCAGGATGGAGTTTTGATGAATTCAGCTTACCTCTGGTAACATCAGTAATGCAAATGTGACCTTTGACACTGCTCTCTTGCTGATATTTGTATAATATCGATTTCTAAATGTTTGAGTAATGCTAAATTAAACGCTTTTCATCTTTAAGTCCTGAGTTTATGATGCCAACTTGTTTTGAAACCTCTCCCCTCACCCCTGCCTTTCTGGTACTCTCATAATTTGTTTAAGGTCATTTTTATATTGGCTAGGAGGAGCCTTTAATTTATACTTCGTAGTACTGAGTCATTTCAAATGGCTCCAGTCCACTGCCCGTATTCTGACACAGCAACCGAGTGGGGACAGGATGATGTTAACTGAGACAGAGAAACAAGGACACTTGCTGTGGGGGGAAAAAAAAAGAGTATCGTAAGTGTCTCTTCACATCTGCCCAAAGACGTCTCCGTGTCTCTCTGGAAAAATGTGTACAACGTTCTTCTCGAGTTTCATAGAAGAAGATTTCAGTGTCTCAGATAAGGGACATGTTTATAATAGGTACACATTATAAGCATGTTGAAAGAAAAATAGGAATTTTAAATAAGTTGTCAAAAAATATTCAAAGGTAAAATTAAGTTTAAAGACTTAGTTCCTATTTTTATGCAAATAATGTTTAAAATCCCTTCTTAAAAAGTAATAAGAATGATGTTTTCAGGCAATTAAGACAAAACAATGTATGTACTTTACTGTCACAGTTATTCTTCTGGGTTCAGTGGAAAGCGATTTTTAAAATCTCCCTCGGGCAACAAGTCTATTGTTACTCATGGTCAGTTCTGACAGCACATTTTGTCCACTAGATTTGAAGATTATGTGCAACTTGCTGACTATCTAGAGCCTTGAATAAAACTTTGGCCTTTCTTGTTTCTCTTCAAAGAGTGTTTTATTTTAATTTCTGTATGGTTTTAGTTTCTTTTTTTCTTAGGTTGCTTTTTTCCCTCAGAAGGAGTCAGCCAAACTTTAATCCCAGTCTTTGTATATATTTGTAGTTTAGTAGGTTCAAATTTATGATCAAATGAGATTATAGGTTTTATTAAGTACTTTTATATATGGTCTCTCATTTATTTGTTAGCAAGGAAAATAATTAATTTATGCTTACTTTTTCTATTGGAAATTGGATTTTAACTCTACATGAAGTAATTTATATTGCCAGTTTTATAGTATCTATGGATGTACTTTTTTCTTTAATAAACTAGTAAAAATGGACCTGATTATCCTATCTCTGTATATGTATATCTCATTTACTTCAGACTGGTTTATTTGAACTGAGATAAATAGTAATTGAGAAATTCTATATTTTCAGTTTATGTTCCTTGTATTCTACTTTTCTATGTGTTATGTTTATAACTTTTGTAATAGATATCACATGACATTGGAAAACAGAAAGACATTAACATTTTATAATTTTAAACAATTTCATGTATTTAATTATGAATCTTTTCAATTTGATTTACAGCAAAATGGTTTCCTTACACTCATATATTATATGAAAATGCTTATGTTACTTTTTTATGAAGTGCTATATATATTACTAACAAAGTTTCTTGAGTCATAATAGACTTTTTAAACTCATCCCACTTCTTAAGCTTGTTCCTAAAAAAATTGTGTTTACACCATTGATACCACCCACACCCACACCATGTTTTGTCTGGTGAACTCGTAAGGTTTTCAAGGAGCCTAAATACTACTTGGGAAAACTTTAGTAGTGGCTCTGAGGGCGAGAGTCCTGCCCTGATTGACATGGCCGAGGGCAGCATCCTGAGTGGAGCGCTGCGCAGAAGCGCCCGGCCCAGAAGAAGTGATCCCTGTTTCAATGAGCAGGTCTCTAATGATGACAGGGAGACACTAACCAACCACCGAACAACCCATACCTGCAGCAGCGTCAGCTTCCCGTTACTTCCACTTGGGTCATTGCCGGATTACCAGAGATTACATCTGTAGTTATGAAAATCCTTGCCCAAATGCGATGTGAATAGGTTCATTAATGTACATGTTATTTACATTTGGGCATTTACTTGCAAATTTCTCTTTTTTGTTGTACTCCAGGACGACATTTTCTACCATTATTCTTGCACAACATTCATTTATGTTTTCTAGATATTCCTTAATTCTATGAAAAGTGTGAGGAGACTGTAGTGGCTGTAAATACAAGGAACAAAACTGTATAGCCCAATAGACAGAGTAGTATTGTTGTGTAATGTAGTAGTTTATAAAGAATACATAGTTTCTGGTATTTATATAGTCTTTTTTTGGAGATACTTCAGACTGCTTTGATTAAAATTGTAATTATTTTAAGATGGTTTATAGATGGGGAAACTAGAATTACACGGTATGATTGCATAGACTAAGGTAAAAAAAATAGACATAGGTCTAAATCTGTCAGTTTGGCTTTCTATTAGATATAGTAGATATGTTAATAAGATAGCAGATGTATTTTACTTTAGGAGACAATTTTTATCAGTTGTGATACTCAGAAAAATGATAAAGAGGATGGGAAGAAACTTTGGGAGGTGATAGACATTTATCACCTCATCTGTGATAATGGTCTCATGGGTGTATACTTATCTCCCAACTTACCGAGTAGTATACATTAAATGTACAGTTTTTTGTATGTCAGTCATACCTCAATGGAGTAGTTTTAGAAAGAAAGATTCAGCCCTGGGTGGTATAGCTCAGTGGATTGAGCATGGGCCTGTGAAGCAAAGGGTCGCCAGTTCGATTCCAGTCAAGGCACATGCCTGGGTTGCAGGCCAGGTTCCAGGAGGGGACACATGAGAGGCAACCACACATTGATGTTTCTCTCCCACTCTCCTTCCCTCCCCTCTCTAAAAATAAATAAATTAAAATATTTTTTAAAAAAGAGAGATTCAGAGAGTGTTTTGATGGTGGCCAGATGGGAGGAGAGCGTGGAGGAATGAGTGAAGAGGTGGGGGGATTAAGAAGTACAAATAGGTAGCACAGAATAGCCGTGAGGATGTCAAGTACAGTGTGGAAATGACCCATGGATGTGAACAATGGTGGGGGTATTGCCTTCAGGGACACTGCTGGGCGGAGGGGGCAAAGGGGGAAAAATCAGGACAACTGCAATAGCATAGTCAGTAAAATATAATTTTTTTAAAAAAGAGAGAGGTGAGTGCTCATCACAGTTGGATTTAAGACCCAGGATTAAACCAGAGAAAATTTATAGACAATATAGTTTTGTTTATTTATGGAGACTTATTATCACCTATGAAGTGTGTCACTGGTTATGTAGAGTGAAGGTGAGCACATTGTCACTGCTTGCTTTCATGTGGAACCGAACAGTGTTTTCCTGATAGGCCACGTATTCTGAGGCATAAATGGGAACGTGTGATGTAAATACATGGTCCACATCAGAACAAAATAATTTTTGACAGGATATTTTCAGTAGAAAAGCTGGTTACCACTAGCTCTTACCTGTGATCTCAAAGTGACCATCAGTAGATTTTTACTTAGTCACTTTTTCCCTTGAATGGCTGCCAAGTTGTAAACCTCAGGTAGCAAAAGGGTATGACGGGCATGTAAAGTGCTTTTCATTTACCTGGCACATGGCAGACATTCAATAAATGTTGCCCTTTGTCATTCGTGATACCATTTCTGCACAGCTGATATGCCCATAGTGCATAAGAAGAATCTGAGCCATCTGTACTTTTGGGAGCATATAAGGTATTATAAGGGTCACACTTTGATTTATTCTTCAATCTCAGTAAGATACTTAGAAGTACATATAAGGGAAGATTAAAGAAATTAAGTTTGTGTAGCCTGTAGAAAAGAAAGCTAAATTTTGGCCTCAGAACCATTTCAGACTTTAGAACATTTATTATAGTTTGATTGCTGGTAACAAACTGTTCTCCTTCTCTAGCAAGAGCATTAAAAACACAGTGGCCTTAATGTTTACAGCTGGAAGGTTGTAGGTGAAGTAGTAGGAACACTGTCAAGTTATTAAAATTGGAATTTTGCACTGAGAGAGACTGTAAAGTTGTGTTGCTTGAAGACTGTAAGGTGGTGTAAGTATTCTACAGTGTGGTCTGACATGGGTTTAGGGAATAAAAGGCATGGGGTTATTTTTAGCTCCTCAATATTCTTTTGGAGTCCAAATATGTATGTTTATCAAACATATACTTGACAAGTTGATTTAAATTAATTTTCCCTTAAATTTCAAGTGAAATTCACAGATTCATAATCCCTCATATCCTTAAAAGCTCAGTAGTTTTCATTCTGAGTTTGCTTCTTAGAGGTATTTTTAAAAAATATTTTAATCATTTTTTAACCCCTTCAAATTGATGGTTAGTTATTTCATCTGAATTTCTAGATGAGTTTTTGGTTTATTTATATCACACACACCCACACATTGCTTTTCTAGGCTCTCTTGCACTCTTACTTGTTACCCACATAACAGGATTAACGTATTTAAAGCCCAAAAAAGGGGACATTATGCTCTTTCTTCAAATGGCTACTAAACACCTGGAACCAGGCCATGGGGTCACCATCTGTTGGTTTTCGGTTTTCCTTTGTGTGATACAATGATAAGTAACCTTTCTAATCACTGATGCTCCTTCCTGACCCCTTCCGGGCTCTGCTCGCCCTCATGGCCACCAGGACCCTTTATTGCAAACAGCTGTTGAGAGATGTGACTGATAGGGTAATGTGGACACAGGGAATGTTGAAATGTAGCCACAGCCAAGGACCCAGGATGGCACGGATTTAGGATTTCTCGAGGGCAGAAAACTTGTGTCACTTTTATAATCTATACAGTTGTTAAAAAATAAATAATTAAAACTTCTAGCAATAAAGATGTCACTTTCTCTTCATATTCTATTTTACTTCCTTAATGGTAAAATACATATAAAATGTTTTTGTGCTTTTATATTTCTTTCCCCCTTATGAAAACT